CCTAGGACTGGATGTGATTTAGAATTGTTTTGTAGGAACAGCAAAACTGCTGGCCTCTGCATATGTGTATATACATAAAATAACATGGTCCTCCCGCAAATCTATTGCATAGGACAAAGGGAGAATGCGAGCCTGTGAATGAAATGTCAGGAGTGGACTTCCAACTTCAGCCTGCTGCAGGGAGGACAGTCAGGAAATAGAGTTCTGCCTCTTTGGATATACTGAGGCAGCCCTAGCCTCCTTTTTCTGAGACTCTGTTTCACATATAAAACAGGATAGACCGTGTGACCCACTCCGGTCCCAAAGATGCCTTGCTCCACTCTGTACCATGGAGTAAACTGATTGCAAGTGATTTTAGAGAAAGGGGGTGAATGGACAGCTATGACCAAGCCCACCAGCTTCGTGTTTGCTGCTCCTTAGTGAAAAACAGGCTACTGAAAACTGAATCAAGCAGAGTTGTCCAAACAGAGAAAGTTACAGATTTAGCAGGCCCATTACCTTTGCTTCTGTCTAGGCCTGAAGCACCCTCCCCACACACCCCCAGAATTTGAGCACCCAGATGTGCAACATACAAAGGCATTGATCTCATCAACAATCACTACTGTAATCACTTTCAGCATCCATCTCCAGTCTCAATTTTATATTTTCTGTTGCCACCAAATTGCCCCTCATTCCTGTGCCTCAGGATGAGAAGTCTGAAATTCCTTGGCTGCAGTTTGGAACTATCAGAAGCTTTTAAAAAATATTGGACACGAGACTCTCAAAACACACACACGTACACATGCATGCACACACACACATGCTGATTTTCTGGCCCTGGCACACACACACACACACACACACACACACACACACACACACACACTGACTGATGTTCTGGCCCTGGCACACACCACACTGATATCTCTCTCACACACACACACGCATGCACGCGCACACACACATGCTGATGTTCTGGCCCTGACATGCACGCACATACACACTGATGTTCTGGACCTGGCGCACGCACACACACTGATGTCACACACACACACACACACACACACACGCACACACACATGCTGATGTTCTGGTCCTGACATGCACGCACATACACACTGATGTTCTGGACCTGGTGCGCACAAATGTGCACACATACACACACTGACTGATATTGATATTCTGGCCCTGACACAGGGCCTGGGGTGGGGCCTAGACTTTGGAGGCTTTTATAACCTCCTCTGAGCATTTCTTCCATTTGGCCAGAACCAAGCCCCAGTGCTGGATTTCCTGCTGGACTTGGTAGAAGAAGTGAATTTTTATGATCGGTGCTCTGTGGGAGATGTGATTGCTGACCCCATCGAACATAGCTAGGCCCAAAACTGGCATGATGAGGACAATTTGTTTTTGATGTGTCTTTTTCTTAGGGCCCAGCCCTCCTGCAGCTGGTCCAGTAAGAGAATCCTAGCCACAGCGTAAATGGTATATAATAGCTTAATGTACTGCCTTAATGTGCAGCCGCCATGGAGCTTTGGGGTTTAATACAAAGGAATTCCTGATTGAAGGACTCAAGCTTTATGGCAAGGCCCATGGGAGAGGTCATTTAAAGTGCTCCCAAACCTGACACAGCCCTCAGTCCTCATCTCAGTAAATGACAACCCTGCTCTTCCTGTGGACTTCTCTCTTTCTCACTCCCCATATCTAACCCATCAATGTATAATCTCAGTTCAGTCTTCAAAATGCGTCCAATATGTACCCACTTTGATCATTTCATTCCCATCATCCTAGCCCATGCCAGCATTACATTTTAAGTCTCTCTCTGCAATCACAAATAACTGCATTTAACCACACATAACTGGTCTTCCCATTAGCCTCCTACACTCCATTTTCCTCACAGCAGCCAGAAGCATACATATACATCACACCCCATCTTCTTCAAACTCACCGGTGGAATGAAATCCAGAGTTCCCACCATGACTTACAAGGCCCTGCATGACTCAGCTTTCAGCTGCCTCTTGGGGCACACTCCCTCTGGTCCCCATTCTAGCACTGTATTCCTATCCACCTCAATCCTATGCCTGCCTCAGAAGCCTCTTTCTCTCCGAATAACCTCATCACAATCTCTGCCTTGTTTCCCTTACGTCTCTGATACATGTCACCTTCCCAGATAATGTCTTCCCTAACCGGAATATGTAAAATGCTTCCCCTCCCCTTGAAAGTGTTTGTGTATGTGTACATGTGTGTTTGTATCCAATACATGTGTCCCCAAAGAAATAAAAAGCAATGTCTTGAGGAGATACTCATACCCATGTTCCCTATAGAACTGTTCACAATCTTCAAGATATGGGATCAATCTAAGTGTCCACAGACAGAATAGGCAAAAAAAAATTGTGGTGCATCTATATGACAGAATATTATTCTGATTTAAAGAAAGGAAAGTTTCTGAAGGCCCTGGGTTCAGTTTTTCAGCATTGCAAGGAGAATCAAAAGAGAATTCTGTCATTTCTTACATGGATGAACATGGAGGACATTGTGTTCCATGAAATAAGCCAGGCACAGAAAGACAAAGACCTGATGATCTCATTGATATCTGAAATCCAAAAATAGGAGAACTACAGAAGCAGAGTAGAACAGTGGTTACTAAGAGCTGGGAGCAAGAGGGGGGAGAGAGTATGGTGCGATGCTGTTCAGAGTACAGTGTAGAGAACATTCATTATTTTAGATCTAGTGCAAAGTTAAGAATAATGCAATTTCAGGTCTCAAAACTGCTGAAATAACAAGCCTGCTGTACCCATCCTTGCCATTCGCTTGTGTAGTCCTCTATGCCCTGCTTTATTTTTTCTTACAGTAGTACCTCCTTATCTGCAAGGATATTCCTAGGCCCCAGGTGTATGCCTATAACATGCACAATACAGAACCATATATCCTTTCCATATAGAGAGAATAAGATTTGATTTATAAATTAGGCATAGTAAAAGATTAACAACAATAACATTATGAAATAAAGCTATTAAGAGACAAGTATGGCGTATACTTTTAATCCTAGCACTCGGGAGGCAGAGGCAGATGGATCTCTGTGAGTTCAAGGACAGCCTGTTGTACAGAATGAGTTCCAGGACAGTCAGGGCTACCAGAGAGACTGTCTCAAAAAAAAAAAAATGGGAGAGGGGAGAAAGAGAGAGAACAATTATAACAATGTACTGTAATAAATTTTATTTAAAATGTGTTAATTGTTTGCTTCTGGAATTTTCCATGTTATACTTTTGAACTGAAGTTAATAATCAGTCACTGAAACTACAGTGAAACTGGAAGCTGGGCATAATGGCACATGCCTACAATTCCAGAACTCGGATAGTGGGGTTAGGTCATCCTTGGCTCCATAGTGAGTCCAAGGCCTGTCTGGGTTGCATGATACCCTGTATCAAAAGAAAAAAACATAAAATTGCAGAAAGGAGAACTACAGCAGTTATGTTCTACATAAAAGATATTTATTAGCTAGACATAGTGCTACACATTTGCAGTCCTAGCACTTAGGACATAAAGACAAGAGTATCACAAGTTCAAAGCCAGCCTGGAATATATAGTGATAGCCTATCAAAAAAAAAAAAAAACACGTAATTGCCTCTGTTCCTGATAGAATAGTCGCACCATAAAGACCATCAGGCCAAGGAATTTGGTCAGTCATACTTACTCCTGTATCCCCCCATCACCTAGAACATTGCCAAGCAAATGATAATGCCCCTAAATTAATCAAATAAATAAAGAAGTAAATACCCCTAAAGAATGCCCTTCAGTGTGATTCTTGTATTTCCTGGTTGCTAGGCTGCCTGAAACTCCGCCGAAAACTAGAATCTGAAGAACACTTCCGTCGTTCTTTGCAGGGGATTGGGTTCAGGACATCCCCATAGATACCTAAATCCATGGATGCGCAAGCCCTTTTGGAACCTGCCCATATCATCTAATATACTTCAAATCATCTCTAGATGACTTCAGATTCTGAATACACAGTAAATACTATGTAAATAGTTGTTACACTGGGTTGTTTGGGAAATGAAGGCAAGAAAAAATGTCTGTACGTGCTCAGTACAGAGGGTTTGATATTGTTGTTGTTTCATGTATTTTTAATCAGTGCCTGGTCGAGATGCAAGGATGCAAAGCTGTGGGTAACAAGGGCTGACTGTGCTTTACAGTGTGTGTTAATCATGCTTCCTGCTGAAATTTTGGGAAAGTTTTCAAGAATAAGAGAGCCTGGCTGGTTCTTTGGGCATTTCTGTAGAACTGTGTAAACAAAGTGATACAGCATTGAGAAGCAGGAAGCCAGGGGCTCTGAGCTAAAGCGCTCCTATCTCTCTTCCCAAAGAGTTCAGAAAGTGTGGACGAGTCATTTCGGAGGGCTGGGTTTCTTCTCTCGCAGATCTCAAAACTGTTTGTGAAAAGTTTCCTTTCTAGGAGCATATCTGTGAGATGAATAAGATTGTTTCTATAAATCCTCTGGGAAGTGTGTATTCACACACAATAAAGTCTACCATTAAAGTCAATCTCATATTAAGAAAACCAAATATGTAAAAATTCACTGTATATGATTACTGGAGAGTGTTTTTGCTTTGTTTTGTTTTTTTTTTTTTTTGCAAACCTCCTTAGGCTTAGAACATTCATAATGGGATTCAGTTTATCCAAATTCAATTCATGTCCAGCTTTTATCCAACACACCAATCAATCATTCAGGGAGACAATTAGCACATTGCCTCATAGCACATTACCTTCCACTTAATAGGTAATCAATACTTAGCTATTGACTCATGGATCAGTATGGCAAATAGCTCTGTACTTGGACAGTTTATTTTTGAGACAGTGTGTCACAATGGTAGTCCAGGTTGGTCTCAAGCTCACGGTCCGCATGCTCAGCTGCCTGAGTTCTTGGGATAGCGGTTATGTACGACCACACTTGGTTGCACCGAGACATCTTAACTCTAACATTACAAAGGAATGAAGACCTCACCAGTCTTTTGTTCTTTTTCCAGTCTCCCAAATCTGCCTTCATCAGTGCTGCAAAGAAGGCCAAGCTGAGGTCCAATCCTGCAAAGGTCCGATTTTCTGAGCAGGTGGCAGTTGGAGAAACAGATGCAGTAAGTACAGCCTTGGCTTCCCTCCTCTCTCCTTGGCCAGAATCAACCTGGCTATTGAGGTCTCAATCAGGTCTTCTGGCAGTGGGCGCCCAGGGGTTGGAGCAGAAGGATCGCTGTGCTCTGAGCGAGCGGGTACTGAAGAGAGAGGAGTGTGTAGCATCCAGAGAGGATAGGGAGGGAGGGAAAACAACATATTGATTCACTCTGGATCTTCATGGTGCTTAGAGAAATTTCCGTCCAGAGCACAAGAGCGTACACTCAGGGCAAGTGTTCCATAAACATCTTTTGGCTGCTTGATAGAAGCAGGGAGAAAGTGATGGTTTTGTGAAGACCCAGAGAACAAGTGGCTGGTGAAATTGAACTCTCTTCACATTTAAGTGGCCCTGCAATTCCACATCTTGACTGGAGATGACTGTGCTGATGGGTAGCCACCTACCAGAAATGACAGACTCTCCTTAAGTCGCTAAAGTTTTCCTAGGCACCAGAAGGGATCCAAAAGGAATACCTGCTCCCTGCCAATGGCTACCTTCTGGGGGGTGGGGTGGGCCCAAGAGGTACAGACTGAGACTATAGAAATTCTCATGCTGTGTGCTATCATCTCAAATAGCAGCTAAGGTGGGAGCCCATGGCACGCAGCTGCCAATCTAGGGATTCATGGCCAGCCCACGGGTTTCTTGTCTTTTTGTGGGGTGTGCATGCAGTGAGCCATCCACCCCAGATGTGCATATGAAAATAAAAGGTAGGCAGAGAGTAGAAGGCAGTGTGTACAGCAGGTACAGAGTCCCCCAGAAATCTGTAGAAGTTGGTGATGTCCCGGAGGGAGGAGAGACAGTTGCAGCTAGCAAGCACTGGGGTGCTTTTGTAGGCAGTGGTGAGATGGGCTGTCCGGAAGCCTGATCATGTATGCACTAAGACACAGCTGCAGTTGTTGAGAGACATAACAGCAGTCCCAGAATGAGCAGAAAAATGAGCAGGATGCTGGGCGTTTGTGTAGTTCTCAGAGGTAGCCCCACCCGGAAGAAAGATGCGGGGGCAGGAGTATCATCCATCTTCTCTTCCCCCGTGCCTCTCTTCTGCAAACCCAGCCCACAACGTCCGGTATTCCTGTGTGAGGAAGACTTGGACAACCAGAAGACGGTCTGATTAACACTCAGGATCCATGTTAATCCCAAGAGAAATGGCTAAAGAGAATGTGAGGATTGATGATTGGCATGGAGAGGGAACAGGATGGAGCCCTGTAGGTCAGAGTGAAACAGACTGCAAGGTCCAAGTCACTGATGAGACATTGGTGTCCTGAACTGTTGACAATTCTGAGGGCATAAGCATTGAGTTTGCAAATATGGACGGATACAGCCCATCCCACCTCAAAACTCCAGTGAAGGCCGGACAGTCAGTGAAGAACTCCTGCTCTCCTCTGCCTCTTCTCTCCCTTTCTTCCTTCCATTCTCCAAGTTCCATGCCTTGCAGCTAGGCCACAGGCAGAATGACGAGCCACGTCTAGTTCAACCATCCTAATACCTCCGCCCACAACAGGGCAGTTAGAACTTATCCAGAGTTTACTTCCCTCTCAGACAGGCACCAAGCTTGGCTTGAGACTCTGTCCAGGAGAGAAAACACATCTGTCTTCCAGCCCCCATGGTTGCTGTCTGTGTGCACCATAGCTGTCTGTTGAGATTTGGGGAGTCCAGGCCCAGGTGACTCCAAGCTGCCCCATCATCCCCTTCCCCTTGTATTCCAAGGCTTTATTAAGCAGCCGGAACAAAAATAAATCCTGTGGGCGTTCCTTGCCAACTCTATTTTTAAGTAAAATCAATTAAGTAATTATCTAAGTCCAACCCAGTGTGCTAAATAAAACTCGCCACCACTGAGCGTCATCAGCCTGGGGAGCCGGGCCTGGGCCTGGCAGGAATGGGGCCTTTCAGAATCAGAGCAGCCTGGACATCATCATCACACATTTCCAAATTGATACCCATGGCTTTCCTCCTTGGTTTGACCCCCTCCAAACTTGCCTCCTGGCTCCCCATCACTGTCAGCTACACCCAAGCTCAGGAGGCCTTGCTTATTTGATACTTTGTCCACAACAGCGGCTGGATCTGAACTGTTGTACCCAGGCTTCTTTGATAATCCATACCAACTATCTCATTCAAAACTCAGAACCCAATTAGCCTTACATAGAAGCTTCACCTGCCTTATACTAGCTAGTTTGTTTGAGGTTCATAACATCCAGACACGTCAGGGGATGACAGGAAGAGTGCAAGTTAGACCTGTGCGCTCTCTCTCTCTCTCTCTCTCTCTCTCTCTCTCTCTCTCTCTCTCTCTCTCTCTCTCTCTCTCTCAAACAGAGTCTCACTGTATAGCCTGGGTTGTCCTGGAACTCCCTATGTAGACCAGGCTGATCTCCAACTCATAGCGATCTACCAGCCTGTACCTCTCAATCGCTTTACCATCTCGGGACCTCTACTTTTGCTATAGCTCCCTGGGTGTTCAGTATCAGCTGAGTGTGCAATGGAGGCTCTGTGGCTATCATTTAGTTAAAGAACCTGGCCATACACTACAAGTACCCGTAGAATGGTTGCTGCTGGTCCATGCTGTGTGCATCCTCCTGGTGAATCTAATCATTCAAGTAAGCACATAGCAAGGACCCATCGTTCATTCATTTAGCAGTCACTTCTCCAACACCAACTATTTTCCAGGCATGCTATTCGTTGTTGGCACCACAAAGATGACTAGATGTGGTCTCTGTGCTCTGAGTTTATTGCTTGATTGTAAATGACAAGTGTTCTTTAAATGATGATGTGTGTCTGTAGTCCTAGTACTCAGAGGTTTAAAAAAAAGGGAACCACCCTAGGCTATATAGCCAGTTAGTCTGGGCTGTATAATAAAACCCTGTCTCAAAATAAATAAATGATTATCATGCATGGTATCTCATACCTGTAATTTTAGCACTTTGGAGTTAGAAAAAGGAGAGCTGTGAGTTTGAGACCAGTCTAGACAACTGGTCACAAAAGACCTTGTCACAAAAGGGCTGTGTGAGTGTGTGTGTGTGTGTGTGTGTGTGTGTGTGTGTGTGTGTGTGTACATATGTGTGTGTGTCACTGAGAAAGAAGTAAGTTGCTATAGGAAAACATGGGAAGATTAGATCCCATGATATTGGACCAAGGCTTTACAAAATACTTATTTGAGCTTGAATTTGAAGGTTGAACAGGAGTTTGCCAGGGAGAGAAAGAGGAAGCTAGGGAGAATGACCATTATTGAATTGAATTTCTGTTCATTGGGAAATTTACATTCATCATTTATAAATGAAGCCCTATGCCCAGCAAGCTTCTACTAAGGAATTATCAGGTGTTGAGAAATGGGCTCTGCCAGTAGTTCTAAATCAGGATCAATGAAACCCCCTTTCGAAGTGTTTGGGGGAATATTTGAGTGTGGTTTTGGTTTTCCGAATGATTTTTGTATGTGTGCTATGGACACTTAGTGTCACAGGGAGAGAGACACTGAGAGCCCTGAAAGGGAGAAGGCAAGGAATGATGAATTGTTAGAGACATAGTAAGGCTTCTAGCAATAATAAGACATGAATCCAGAGGGGTAGACAGGATCCAGGTCAAAAAGGACCTGAAGAACTAGGCATGGTGGCACCCATCTCTAAAAGTCAAAGAAAAAGAAAGAGGGCAGCCTAAGGAGAAAGCAAAGTGGCTCAGAGTACTCGTCAAGCATGGGCAAGGCTCTGTGCACCATCCCAAGCACCAGAGAATGGCAGGATAAAGATGGGCTTGGGAAGGTCCTAGTGGGAAAAGAAGCATCTGGAGATAAACTGGGCTGTGTGAAGTAGTCCCAGAGCAGACTCTTCATGAACCTTCATGCTGTGTGTAACGATCTCTACTGATCCAGTGCTCTGTGATGCTACTGAGCTTCAGACTGCAGCAGAATGCAAATACACCATGATAGAAAATGAGAAGCGGACTTTGGATATGACTAAATGTCTTCTTGGGGATTTTGTTCTGATCTGCACGTAGCATTATTATTGATCTTGTCTTTCCTCTCTCTTTGTTCTCACACCCCTTTGGCTCCCTACCTCTCTCACCTTCTTTCCCTTCCTTTCCACAAACCCCCACTTTCCTCCCTTTCCTGTGTGTCCACAGAAAATGATGAAGAAGGAAGCTCTCCTCCTCATCCCCAATGTCCTGAAGGTTTTTCTAGAAAATGGGCAGATCAAGTCATTCACATTTGATGGCCGGACCACTGTTAAGGTACATAGGGAGACCCCTCACCTAGAGTAGCTGTTTGTGTCCCTTTGAAATTGCACACAGTGGCTTCACTGACTGCTGGGACAAGATTACCTTTGATCTGTGCTCTGAAGTGTGGGGCTGCAAAAATGTAACCCTCAGCTGAGGCTGGCAGTAGAAAATTGCATGCTCAGCTGTGCGCTAAATAGTGTAAAAAAAAATGTGTGTGTGCATGCACACACGTGCACATGAATGCACATCTGCTTGTCAACTACTTTGTGTTCATACTACACTGGGTCCTTCAGGACTCTTGGGAGCTAAGCCATGTGAAGATCATTAAATCATTTATAAAGCCAATATGATCTATATTGATACAATAACACTTACGCAAGTTTACACACCAAAATAAACAAATGTGATCTCTTGGGAGATTAGCTTAGCCCTGTCTTGCTTTTTAAACAACAACCAAAATCTTAGGCACTGAAGCAAGATTTGAGAAGTCCAGCCATAGCCCTTTGGCTATTGTTTTCACAGGAAGAGCAATTACTGAACTGTGATTCTTAACAGTTCAGCCAGGCGTCATGAAGTCCTAGTGATTCTCTTAGTCCTGAAGAGTAGAGGTGGTGATGCAATTTTACCCTGAGGTTCACTCTGCACTGGGACAGAAATATCTATCCCTGATTCTTCTGGACTCTTGCTGGGAGAATACCATCCCAGGGATGAATGTTCTTATACAACCAGTGCTTCCCAAATTGTTGGGCAGTCACGACACCTGCCCAGGAAAATTACCTTGCCCACAGCTGTCCTGCGGCTCCCATGCAAGAGCCAAGATAACTTTACAAATAAAGAATCCATCAGGCATGGTGACACAAGCCTGTAAACCTATTACTCTGGAGACTAAATACAGAAAATACAGGTTCAAGGCCAGTCTGTGCTACAAGGAGAAACCTTGTTCAGAGGAACAAGGTGTTCAGAATGGCCTTCCCAGTATTTTTCTACTAAACTTTACAGATTGTTCGTGTATTGGTTTGAGGAATATCTAAAAGTATTTTGGGATCATCCCATGGTATGTCATGCTACTGGCATTTAGTCTCTCAAGGTCAGAGATGTTAAGTGTCCTCCAGGAGACAGAATAGTCCCTGAAATCATTGTCCTACCCAAAATTTCTTTGGAAAGCTTAGGCCTAGGTAGGTATCTCTAAGGAGCCTAAGACCCAAGTGTCTTAGGAAGCTATGGCACTGTCTCGGCTATGGAGTGTCTTGGAAATGTTGAGACAGAACTAGACCACCTAGATGCCAGAATCTTCCTTGGCATTTCTTCAGGTGTTAATATACTCATTGTAGATTTGTCAATAGCCCAGAGCACTGGCCAACCTCTCTTCTTCTTAGAGGTTTCGAGCACTCCCTACCTCTCACTGCCACTACGGATGTGGCATCCAGGCAGGGCCAACCTTTGACACTCAGGCTCACTCTGCACCTCAGGGAAGGTGCATGGCTAGTTATTAGAACCCTGATAGCCTTTCAAGCCACTTGTGACAAAGAGGTACCTGGATGAAGTGACAGTATCACATAGTGGCAGTTACACCTTTAACACCAGTTGACAACAAGTGGCTTGGCTGTCCACAATCTCAATGCCACTTAACCGCAAAGAAACCCGCGTCTATCTGTACCAGGATTCTAGTGATGCTCAAGCCTCTGTGACTGTGTGAATAGCACAAAGAAATCCTCTCAAATGCCCAGCACTTTGTGGTCCTTTGCTCAAGTGACTGAGCATCTCACATAGAGGGGATACTTTGGCAGTTCTGTCCGTCGGAGAGTTCTGAACTCCCCAGCCTGCTTCCCTCCAGGTTTGAGGGTTAAGGCATGCTGACTTTGTAAACGTACACACCGCAGTGTGTATGCTGAAGCCACAGCAAATAGATGGCAGACGCCCCAAAGCTGACATTTGGGCAGCCCCCACCAATATGCTCTCAGACGCCCTAGTATTAAAAGTAGGGCAGCAGAGCAGACGGAGCTCAAAAGTAGTCAGATCTATGACTGTACTGCAGACACGTGGCATTGTTCCTCTTTGTGGACACATTTTTCAAGTTGCTAAATTGATCGTCTATAAAAGCTAGCTATGGCCAAAAATGAACATTTTGCCAGTAGCTCAAGCCATTTGATTTAGATTATGAATCCGGAAATAGTATACTTTTTAATCACCGAAATGTGGCTTTGGCTTTTGCTCATTCCTAAGAGTTGACAGACAAACCCAAATGAAAATTCTGACTTAAGAGAGGGGAGAGGAAAACCAGCACGGTGCTTGAATGCCACAAGCATTCAGGACATGCGTTCTCGAATAGAGGGAAAGACAGAATAGGAGGAGGGAGGGATGAGGTGACAGGACAAGAGGAGGAGGGAAATGTCACTTACCAGGTGTCTGACCAGACGAAATGAGGGGACACATACATTCACCTCCTGAACCTTTGGTGTTCCCCAGGGCCCAAGCCACTGGACAACATGCACAAGGCCTTTCACTGGTCCCAGAACTCATATCTGGGCCACCCCGAAGCCTTTTCCACAGGACTATTGTGCTTGATTTCCAATATTTTCTCATTTAATTTTTAATTCCCAGTTTTTCCTCATGTATTCATTACTTTGAGTAACTTAGAGTCAGAAAGACGCCCCCTCTCAAGGCTCTTTTTCTTCTACAGGATGTGATGGTGACCTTACAGGACCGTCTCTCCCTGAGATACATTGAGCATTTTGCTCTTGTCCTTGAGTATACTGGGCCGGAACAGAATCACAAGTTCCTGATTCTCCAGGACAAGCAGTCCCTGGCTTATGTAAGTCACCCCTTTATCCTGGCTGTGTTGCTGCATGTAACCAGTGCTAGATAAGAGTACCCATGAAGCTGCTTAACTAGAAAATTCATCGTGGTGTATGTAGTCAATCAGCTCTCAGAAGTCACAGTTCCAACCTCGGGTGGAATGTGCGTATGTATATGTCTGTGTATATATCTGTATGTAGGTATTTATGTATGTATATGTATTATGTGTGCATATGTGTATATGTGTGTATGCAAGTATATGTGAATGCATGCATATATGTGTGTGTGTATGTATGTGCTTATATGTATGTGTTTATGTGTGTGTGTGTGTGTGTGTGTGTGTACTGCTGTGAGTAGAACCAAAAGACTTGAACATCACTGTTCCTCTGAGTGACAGTCCAGCCTTACCTGAGGGGCTTACTATTCATCTCCAGAGAACCTTTGACAATATCCTTTGTGACCTAACAAAGGCATTTGTCTTGGTCTCTATTGGCAACTCTCCTGTTTCCTGGAAACACTGCCTGCTAGCCACTTCTGCTTTCTAAGAAGAAAATTGACCTCTTAGATGAGGGCCGTGATACAAAAAGGTCAGAAATAGACTCAGTGGTAGTTGGGAATGAACTGCGTGGGGTCAGAATAGGTAGCACATCATCTTCATCATCTTCCAAAGTAGAGGAGGACAAACTTGCTCATCCTTCTGGCCACACTGTATGGGAAAATACTATTTAAAATAGGATTGTTATATAGGATGCCACCCATATCAAATGACCAGGGAGCATCAGAGAGGTGAGCAGGGCCACTCAGCATTCCCTGATAGGGTAGAAAAGAGCTGAAGGGGGACAGTTAAGAAAAAATAGCTTTTAGAAAGTGTATGGAAGCCAAACAAAACTCATCAAACCCAGACCAGCATGATAGCACACTTCTGGAATCTAGTACATAAGAAGTTGAGGCAGGAGAATCTGGAAGGTCAGCCTGGACTACATAAAGAGTACTGTGGTAACTTGGGCTACAAAGCAAAGAAACAAGGCTGGCAATGAAGCTTGTTAGTACAATATTTAGCCAGCATTCAGACCCTTTTGATCCCTATTGCTGTATAAGCTGGGTCACAGTGATGTGCACCCGTAATCCCAACCCTTGGAAGTAGAGATAGGAGGATCAGAAATTCAAAGTCATCCTTGATTAAACAACAAATTTGAGTGCAAGGCCAGCCTTAGATACAGGAGACACTGTCTCAAACAAACAAATCAGATGCACACAGAAAAGAAAGCAGTTTTCAAAGGAAACATTCACGTTTCAGCTCAAATACAATCCGGGTAGGAAAGGAAAGGTGGTATCTGCCTAGAGTTGAAGCACCTCCTATCCTAGCCAAGAAACAATCCTCTGGGTCAAATGGGCTGCTTGTGCCAAATGGAATTTCAAACTTCTTTATTATGAAAAATTTTCAGACATACACAATATATATGGACTAGCATATGATAAACCCTATTATCCATCTCCACCTTCAACAATTACCAGCATGCTTCATCTGTATCTCCAAAAGAGGTCCCAGCCTTTGATTTGAACTCTCTAGACATCAATTAGTCTGTTAGATGCTAAGCCTGTCTGCAAGAAGAATCTGATACATTCTCAGGAGCCCGCTCTCCCTAACTCCGCTCTTGGCACTTAGACTCGGTTTGTTTTGGGGGCAATGAAACAACAGGGTCTTGCTATGTATCCCACATTGCCCTCAAACTTGTGATGATCTTCCTGCCTCAGCCTCCCAAGTACGGGGATTATAGGCATGAGCTACTTCGTAGACCTCATTCTTAATAGAGACTATGTCCTTAAAAGGTGATTAAGACATTCTAGTCACAGCCAGGTATGGTGGCACATGCCTTTAATCTTAGCACTCAGGAAGCAGAGGAAGGGAGATCTATGTGAGTTCAAAGCCAGCCTGTCTACATAGCAAATTCCAGACCAACCAGGTCTACAAAGTGAGTCCCTGTCTCAAAAAATAAGCTTCACTGATAAATTAACAATATAAAAACAGGGTAGTTATAAAACTATACTATAGTAAGAGTTATGAATTGTTTATTTCCTGAATTTTCTATTTTTGACTGAGGTCGTCCATGGACAACTAAAACCAGGGAAAGTAAAACCCGAGATGAGAGAGGAATTCTCGAAATGAATTTGCCAGGCAGGAAGCAAGAGTGGGAAACAACAGCCTAGCTTATCCCTAAGCCTACGTTAAGAAGCCACCAAGCTGCCTGCCCCGTCACAGTCATTAATTCTATGGTTTCTTCTCCACCCTCTCCTCCTGGGGTTTTAGGTGGTACAGCGGACACACTATCATGGGATGAAATGCCTCTTCCGAATAAGCTTCTTTCCCAAAGACCCCATGGAGCTGCTACGTCGGGATCCTGCTGCTTTCGAGTACCTATACATCCAGGTAGAGTCTGGCTTGGGGACACAAAGATAGACCAGTGGAGAAACAAGCAGGCAGGCTGTTCTGCCATCACAATGGAGTTGCTCTGTATGTTCAACCTTTAGCTTGCTCTGAAGGCCCGTTCCTTCCTTGCTCCTATTGGAGTTCATTGTGTCAAGTTGGCTGATTTGAATTTGACTGTCAAAGTATCGTCTACTTGTCCACCAGAGCCCAATAGTTTTCAGAAATGAGCAACCCTAGGAACTCTGGTGCTTCCACAGAATCCCAAGGTTTTACAAGCTCTTTTGGGTTCCATGAACTGTCAACCACCAATACCTAGGTTCAGTGAGGAGGTGGTTCTGATCTCACTCCATCCAGAAATATTTATTGAACCCATACCCTGGGTCCTGACAATCAGAGGGGCAGAAAGGATAGACTTTGCTCACCAGAGTTCATATATTCCTAAATAGAACCACAACAGGCTTCAGTGTTCATAATGACACCCAGGGAGCAGTCTGCCAGCCCTGCCTGAGAGAAAGACAGTGAAGGCTTCACAGAGGAGAAGATCTGTGTACACTCTTAGCTGTGTAGAATGAGTAGATATTTGCTACATAGTAAGATGGAAAAGAGGGGTCATATCCCAAGCAAGAGCCCTTGCCTTTTCAACGGCATGCTGATGAGAAAAAAAATGCAAGTGATTTTTGCAACTTCAGTACAGGATGTAATGTTTAAGAAGCAATAGAAAATGAAATCGGAGAGCTGAGAACCAGAGAGTGAATTCTTGGTAGGCCACGGAGAGCAGACTTGATTCCGGAAGCTGGGAAGTGTTTCTCAGAATGTGGACCCTGAACCAACAGCATCATTAACTGGAAGCTTGTTAGAGATGCAGATTCTTGGGCCTTATACCAATTATTTCTTTTAACAAGCTCAATGAGATGAAAACAAAACAACAGAGTCTCATGTAGCTCAGGCAGACCCCAAATGAACTATGTACCTTAAGGATAACCTTGAGCCTCTGATTCTCCCACCATCAACTTCCAGGTACTGGACTTATAGACAGGTATCACCAACCACATCCAGGTCTCCATGAGAGCTGAATACCCTCCACCTCATGCCAAAGCTTTGGAGACAGTGGAACCACTCCAGAACAGTGGTTCCTTAACCCTACCTGAACATCGGAACTATCTGGGAGGGGGCTGGCAAAATGGCTTGGTGGTTAAGAACATTGGCTGCTCTTTGAAGAAAGCTGGATTCAATTCCTAGTACCCACATGGGTTCACAACCATCTGTAACACCACTTCCAGGGGACCTAAGGCCTAGGCATGTGTATGGTATACAGACAATTACATAGGCAAACACACACACACATAAAATAATTTTTTAAAAAAAATGAACTATCTAAAAGGCTTTTTTTACAATTATCTGGGAAAAAATCTGTTCTGCCTCACCCCAAGTCTGGGAGTTTGTGTTTTTCTAATTATCTCAACTTATTCTAAAGTGCATTCAAGGTAAAGAAATCCTGCTGAGGAGTGGGTAAGAGTGCCAAAAGGAGAGTCACCTGGTCATTAGCCAAAGGAAAAGTGATGCCCAAAGTCAGGCTTGTGAACGATGCGGTATTTGGAGTGGGATTTCAGGGAGATGTAAAGGTTTGGATTGGCTGAGTATTGGTAGAGATGGTATCAGTCTTCACATTGGCGAATAAAGAGTGTCATGAGCTTGGAGACAGGATAAGTTCATTTTAGGCCATGTTGGCTTTTAGGTACCCACAGGACATATGCAGTCCTTGTTGAGAAAAAGAAAAAAGAAATAAAAAACCAAACTTCTCTGTTTCCGCGAGTGACACCTGGGACTGCAATGAGAGACACTGCAGTTGTCCTTTCTGCCCTTTCTGACAACCTAAAATGCTAGGAACATTTCTCAGCCTCGTGTTCCTCGGCCAAACCTCTAGGGGGGACAATGGGTTGTGTGGTTTTTAGTTTAGTTCTCATTTTGTTTGTCCTGAATTTCTTCACTCAAACTTCTGGGGATTGCCTCGGTTCTCATATTTTGGAATTTGATGGTAAGATCGTGCCCAGCATATTTCTCCACTTTGTGATAATATGAACTTCATCTGGATTATTCCTTTTTTTAAAAATCAGTTTTTTGATTTTTGCTTTTTTTTAAACTGAAGTCTAATTGATACATAACAAACTGCACATGTTCAAAGTGAATACTACAATAAATTGTCACCCACAGCCACAACCACAATCAAAATATTGAACATATTCAATATTCACTGACATTTCCTTGGGCTCCTTTGTGATTTCTGGCTTTCTGTCACTATAGATTTGTTTTCCTTTCCAAGAGTTTATGTAAATTAAACCATATGATACGTATATTTATTTTGAACTGGGTGGTTTTCCTCAGGTTTATTTGGGTTTTTGTTTTGTTTTGTTGTTTTGGTTTGGTTTGGTTTTTCAAGACAGGGTTTCTCTGTGTAGCTTTGGAGCCTGTCCTGGACTCACTCTGTAGACCAGGCTGGCCTCAAACTCACAGAGATCCACCTGCCTCTGCCTCCCAAGTGCTGGGATTAAAGGCGTGCGCCACCACATCCCAGCCATTTTTCTTGTTGAGTAATATTCACAGAACCAGAATTGGTTACACATGTTGATGGACATTTGGGGTACTTCCAGATTTGTACAATTACAAATGAAATTTCTATGAGTATTCATGCCCAAGTTTTCGCATAGATGTGAGCTTTCTTTGCTCTTGAGTAAATAACTAATAAAAGGATGGTTTGACTGTTTTCTAAAAGAAATTCTAATGCTATTTTCCAAAGTGGTTGCACCATCTAACACTCCTATCCATCACATATTACATTTTAGCTTCTCCAGTCTTATCATCTCTTGGTGTAGTCAGTCTTTTTTTTTTTTCACCCTAGTCATTCTAGTATTATACAGCACTGTCTCTTTAAGGCTTCCATTTCCATTTTCCTAGGTCACTAGTGGTGTTGGATAATTTTTCATGTATTCACTGTTGTGTGTCTTCCGTGATGAAATGTCTGTCCAAATCATCTGCTGCCTTTTTATTGGGTTATTTGTTTTCTTATTATCAAGTTTTGAGAGTTCTTTATGTATTCTGGAAATAAGTCATTTGTTGGATATGTTATTTGCAATTATTTCCTCCCAGTCTGTGTCTGGCCTTTTTGGTCTCTAAACAGTGTCTTTCACAGAGCAGATGTTTGAATTTTGATGAAGTCCAGTTTGTTAATCTTTTCTTTTACAGATAGTACTTCTGGTATCATATCTAGGATATATCTGTCTATCCAGTGTATCTGTGTATATTCATGCATGTGTGTGCGTACATGTGTGTGTGCATGTTGGCATGTAGATATAGACACACATTTGTTGAGGTTCCACTCATTGAAAAGCCTATCCTTTCCTCACTGAATTGTCTTCATACTTTTATTACAGAGCAGTCTGTGTAAGTAATAAAACATCTAGATCTAGTGGGAAAGCAGTTGTCAGTCTATCTGTAGTCTATTTCTGAACCTCTATTCCATTCTATTGATCTGCCAGTCTACCCCAATGCCAACCACACACTATTGATAACTAGAGCTTTATAATAAGTCTTAAAATCAAGTAGTGTTTGTCCCCGACTTCGTTCTTCCTTTGAAAAATTGTTTTCATTCTAGGTCCTCTGCATTTTTCATAGGAATTATAGAATCAGCCTGTCAATTTTTACTAAAAATCCTACCATGATTCAGATTGGAATTGTGCAGAGTCTGTAGATTGATTAAGGGAGAATTGATTTGTTAACAATACTGAGTCTTCCAGCCCATGAGCAAATTACATTGATCGAGGTCTTTCATTTTCTTCAGCAGTTTTATAAGTTTTTAATGTATTTTTTTACATATTTTGTCACATTTATTCCTAATTATTTCTTATTTTGATGCCATAATAAATGATTTTTATCTTTATTGCTGCTGTTGCTGCTGCTGTTTTTGAGACATAGTCTAATTCTATATAACTCAGGCTGGTCTGGAGCTGTGTAGCCCAGGCTAGTACTGAACTAGTGAGCCATCTTCCTACCTTGGCCTCGAAAGTACCAGGATTATAGGTATGAGCCACCATACTCAGCAATGATTTAGATTTGTAATTCAATTTCCAATTGTCCATTGGTATCATATAGAAATACATTTTTACAGTGATTTTTATGCCTTGCAACTTTGCTGTACTCAACGAATAGTTTTAATGGGTTTTTGTAGATTCTACTAGATTTTCTTTATAGATAAACACTAAGTGTTCATTTTCTTCTCACTCCCCCACTTTTGATACAGTCTTGATCTATAGACAAGGTCAGCCTAAAACTCACAGTGTAGCCCAGGCTGGCCTTCCAATTCTCAGGCCTCTGCCTCCAGAGTGGATTTATTTACAGTTGTGAGGCCACCGCTCTTGGCTGAAGAATCCTTTTTCTGTTCTTTTCCTTTGCTAGAGTGATACCACTGTGACTCCCTAGTCCCAAGGCCCATTGTGGTAGAACCTCAAGCAAAGGACAACTGTTCAAATGAAGGTGGAGTCATTGCTAGCTGGGGTGCTGGCCTTAGAGTTTGGAAGGTTATCATACTCTTGACTATCACCTACAAGGTATTCCCTCTAGGGCAGCAAAATGTTTTTGCCATCTCAAGGAACAGAATGTCTGCTCCATCCCTGCAAGCTATCTCTCACCCTGGGCTTCTGGAACAGAGTCCCACAGAGAGCCTCTCCCATTGTCTTTCTTTCCTTATTCTCATCTGGACTATTAGAAGAGTCTGGTATGGCTAGTAGTTGAGTACGGAACCCCCACCCCGGAAGGGTGACATTTCTCTTATAACAGAAGAAAGAAAGGGAATGAACCAGGTCTCACTTGTACAGTAACCCGGAGTTTTCTGCCCACTGTGTCTTTCTGTTGTGTGACCTGCCACTGAGAAGAGCATCTAATATTTGCTGAAACAAGCACGTAGTGTCTCTGTGACCCATGGCTCCCCTGTTGTCTCTTCCCTAAGGGCAGTAGCCCTTTCTTTCACTTGAATCATTATGTCTTGCTGGTGGCGTGATTCTTTTCTGGGATCCAAGGGCATAGCTGGGGAGTAGAGAAAGAAAGAAGCGATGTCTCCTTTAACTGATGGATTCGGTCTGCCCTCTCTCACAGAGTCGTAATGATGTTATCCGAGAACGCTTTGGAATGGAACCCAAGCCAGAGATGCTTTTGGATCTTGCTGCCCTCCACATCTATATCACTGTCTCAGCTACTCGGCCTAGTCAGAAGATCACACTCAAGAACGTGGAGTGAGTTGTGAAAGGGCCCTCCTGGAGGGGACAAATTGCTGTCCATAAGAAGGTGCAGTTGTTGAGCTCTGCTCTGCTTTTCAAGGTCATAGCCATCCTACGGGGGTAAGAACTTGAATTCCTGATGCCTAACCTCCCATGCTTTCAAGCTATGGTTTCTACCGGTAGGGTATGCACGGCCACAGTTTGCCTGTCCTTCCCCTTCTTTCTCTTTTTCCTAGTCCGTTTCTCCATCTCTGCCTCTCGGAGTTACTCAGGTTCTTTCTGACCATCTCCCTCCCTCGTTCCCACTTTGTCTCTCTCACTAATCTCTTGCTCTTCTTCTGTTTTTAGGAAGGAGTGGGGCCTGGAACCCTTTCTTCCCCCCTCCCTCCTGCAGGGCATCAAAGAGAAGAACCTTCGGAAGTCTCTCTCTCAACAACTGAAGGCCCACCAAATGCATCCTTCTTGCAGCACCAAGGTACCCACCCAGAGGAGGCCATCGGGCACTACCTTTAAACTCTAGAGGCCTCAGAGAGGTCCTGAATGGTACCCTGGGGGTTTCGAGCACTCTTCTGATTCAGGTGCACACTGAGCCATTCCTTCTTGGGTGCACACTGAGCCATTCCTTCTTGGGTGCACACCCCATCATTCTTCCTGACTTGGGTACACATCTTGGGTGACCAGGTGTGAGGCAGCTATGCAAAGGAGTTTGCTCCAAACTCAAACATTGCTCAAATAGCCTTAGCGACACATCACTGCAAGCCACTGTGTCCTCAAAACAAAGGAGCTATAAAGAAAGTCATGCTTGGGGTCTTTTGCCAATTAGCCCTAATGGAGCACCTGTCCTGTGAAAGGCATTGGCTCCTAAGAGAGGCACAGATTTTCCATGAGAGTGACTGCTCTGTCCCTCACGAGATTCCTAATCTGTCAGTCCTAAAACAGAGAATCTTGGGAGATGAAGGTGCAACGCAGAGCTGGGCTGTCTTCTGAATACTAAGAGGCAGCAGTCTTTACCTCGGAGAGGCTTCTCTCCCCACCTCCCCTGGCCCTGCTGGGCCTTCTTAGACCGCTAAGATGCCATCTGCTTGTGCTTCCTGCCCAAGAGGCTGGAGGATGGTGACAAATACTAGAATCGGCATGCAGATGTAGACAGGAGACACAATCACCCTATATATGCCACCCATTCCAGATTTCTTGAATTACCAACTAGCTTCCCTTTTAAGATGCAAATTTCCCCAGAGAGCTAAGCCATTCCCACCTTACTGTGCATGCTTAATCAGAATGGTTTTTTTTTTTTTCTTGGCTGAGAGCACCAGTGCTCACCACCATCTCCACAGCAAAGATTTTTTTTTCTATGCACCCCAGTGCTTTGCTGAAGAAAGCCTGGCTTTAGCCCTTGAGTCGGGCACAGTCAAGTAGGGAAATAAAACCATAATTCCCAACACAAAGCAGCAGGCACTGGTACTCGACAAGTATTCAGGAGAGACAGATGCCAAGCCCAGGCTAGGAGAGGGAGAACTGGTATATTTAGTACCAGAGCTGAGACGTGAAAGATAGACACATAAGAGCTTGTCTAGATGAATTGCTAGAAGCAGTCCTAAGAGGAAAACTTCCCTCCACCAGGAGATCTCTCTCTATAGAAGCCAGCCAGGTGAGTCGTGGTAGCAGGGGAAAGGACATAAACGGTTCAGCCTATGCAAAGCCACAGAATATGAGACACAAATCTGGCGGAGGCAGAGACAGGAGGATGGCAGGAACCAGTTCTTTCTGTGAGGGCTTTCTGTGTCACAGGAAGGGGCTGCACACAATCCTATAAACAGCAAGGAGCCATGGAGGAGTTGAAGCAGGAAACTGGCGTGATTAAATTTACTGTTTCAGGATGTTACCACTACCAAACACTGGGTGTATGTAACTGAGGGGACGAAGCTGAGTACCCAAAGCCCTGATATAGGAAGGAATGTCAAAGAAACGGTATAAGGCAAAAGAAATAGGTAGATCCATTCAAGAGGAAGTCAGGGGGTAAAATAAATGTGATTTGGTGACTGATGGCCCTCAGATGACAGGATGAAGGGAGAGTCCTGTGTCCCTCACAGGTTTCTAGCTCAGTTGCCCCAGACATGCTGGCGGAGACCTGGAAGCCCAGATGAAGAACAAGCTTGGGACTTGGATGTGTTCAGTATGAAAGCACTAAGTGGTACCCCATGATTGCATGTGGCACTATCAGTGAGGCTCTAAGGATCTGAAGGAACTTAGGAGAGGTGCATAGATTAAGTGGATGTCAGAGTTTGTGGAAAGGGGCTTGAATTACTGAAAGACCAACAGATTCGAATGCTACTTTAGGTATTGGGACCAAGAGGTCTGAGGAGTGCTCGGGGAGGTAGGTGGAACGCTGAAGGTGAAAGCCATCCGAGCGGGAACTTCCTTCCAGCTTTACCCAGGCCTTTCTCATTTCCATGGAGTAGGCTGATGACTAGCTCCTGCCATAAGACCTTGAGCCTCCACTTGGAGGATGTGGGATGTTTCTCTCTGCTCCTCTAGATTCTTATTTCAAGGTGGGTTGTTTCCACAGGGCTCCGCCGTTCAAGCAAAGCTCCAGTACCTTCGAATTCTGAATGAACTTCCGACCTTCACTGGTGTTTTATTCAACACTGTAGGACTGGTCAGTGGGACTAAGGGATTGGGGGAGGGGCAGAGCGTGGGGCCAAGGGGAGGGAACCAGCCCTTTATTGGAGGGACAAAATCAGTTAGCTTTCATATTCAAAGCATCCACTACATCCATGGGTTCAACCAAGTGTAGATCAAAAATAGTCTAAGAAAAAAAAACTGTGTTGGTACTGAGCATGTATAGATATTTTTCTTGCCATTATTCTCTAGACATAATAGTATAACAACAATTTATACAGTATTGGCACTATGTTAGGTATTGTAAGATTTCTGAGATGATTTAAAGCATACATTAGGGTCAGATATGACAGTGCATGCTTGTAATCCCAGCACTCTAGAGGCTGAAGAACAAGGATCACAAGTTCAAGATCGAGGCCATTCCTGCATATATAAGACCCTTTCTAAGAAGTACATAAGAATATCCATGCAAACGATATACAAATGTTATGTCCTTTTATGTAGGAACTAAGCACCCATGAAAGCAGTCCCCTATAGATAATGGGGGTCAACTCCATCTACTTTCAATGCCCATTATCAATCCTTTTGTTCCCCTTCCCTATATTCCAGGGTTTGACAACCCATGTCTGTAGAGGGCCAGATAGAAAATATGCTTGCCTTTTGTTGGTGGGTCAAACGGATCTCGGTAGCAGCCAGTCAGCACTGCTGTGTTAGCATGAAAACAACCACAGCGTGTTAACAAATGGGTGTTACACCCTGCCAATAACTATTTAGAGACACAGAAATTTGAATTTCAAAGAATTTCCATGTGTCAAAAATATGGCTCTTTTGACTTCTTTCCAACTTTTAAAAATGTTCTAAGTTTTCATTTTTCACCATTGAGGTGTTTGAAACAGGTGAGGGGCCATATTTGGCCCGTGGGCCAGAGTTTGCCAACCCCAACCCTGTTTGTTTGCCTCTACATGTACACAACTCCCATAGTCCCCTAGCCCCGGTTTCCCATCTCTCCATACTGCCCCCTGCCTACTCAGGACCTGCACTGCACTGTGATGCTCTGGGCTAAGGCTCAGCTGGCACAGTCCCTAAGACTGCTCCAGTCCAGTTGCCTCTGGTAGAAGGAAATTCAAATCATCTTGCTGATTGGCTTCAGGTGCTTGTCATGCCCTGTGGAACACGCTGTCGTGCTAGCACGGCACACTGGAGAAAATCTGCTTATCACAGTGCCTGTAGGCAGACATAAGCGGTTCCCGGGTGATGTTAATAGCAGGGAGTGGGTCAGCGGAAGGCTCAGGTTTGATGACTTCAAGGAGTTTGTCTGCCCCATTTAAGGGAATCTGGCCTGTCAGACCTCGGAGCAGCCATTTATACACTGGGATTTGGAGATCACTGAAAGCCCCCTGGCCCCTCCCTCCACCCCCACACACACCCTGAAATCTCTCTTCCACCAGCCTGACATTGCTCAAATGCCTATTGGTTGTTCCTTTGAGTCAAGGCTGCTGGAGTACCTATTAAAGGGTAAATCTAGGGAGCCCTTCATTAAGCACCTAAACAACCCTGCATGCCTTAGGCGAAGTTATTTTTTCACTATGGCTTTGGCACAGGGTGAGAAGTGCAAGTTGGTGGAGGGTGGGTAAAAGCCAGACATAATGCTGCCTAGTCAGGCAAAAGCACTGGCTAAGAGTTTTGGATGGCTTTCAACAACTGTGAAAAGTACCTTGGTACTTGATAACGGAGAGTTCTCCAAAAGCACTAGAAAGGACATACTTCACCTACCTTATAATTTTGTTAGAGCCAGCCCTGATGCTGCTCAGTTAACTTATTGCTGTAGCTAAGGGGTGATTTAGGCTGAGGATCTAGGATCCTGTACCAGGGAGGTTCCAGACTGTTTTCCTCTCAAGGTTGCGTTTTTAACCTTGGCACTGAGCCTCAGGTATTTCTCCTCCCTTCCCCTACTCCTCACGTACTCCAGCAGAACCTACATAATACATATTTTCTCTTCTTCACTGCCTCTTCTCCCTGGTCCTTCTCTCCACATCTGTCTGTGAACGTTGTCTGCCTGGCACACTTGGGCACTAGGACGAGAAGCAGTCAGCCACCACTCTCCTGGTGGGACCCCGTCACGGCATCAGTCATGTTATTGACCTCAAGACCAACCTCACCACTGTGCTGTCCGAGTTCAGCAAGATCAGCAAGATCCAGCTGTTCCGGGAGAACCAGGGCGTGGCCCGAGTGGAGACCAGCATCATGGATGCCAAGGTGAGCACTTCTTTGAGGTGCCGCTTCTTTCCAGAACAGCCCTGGGGGACAAGGAAAGAGTTGGAGCATGTGATTTGAGGCTCAGAGATTCTGAAATGACTTCTCCATAGAACTCTTTGTCTTCATATTTCCCTTCTCCACCTTCTAGGACTTAGATAATCTAAGATGGTTTGTCAGCACGCCTTAGCTACTGTTCTATTGCTGTCATTAAGATAGCACGACCAAGAAAACTTATAAAACAATTCGTTTACTTGTCACTTACAGTTTCCGAGGGTTAGAGTCCATGACAGTCATGGCATGGAGCATGGCAACAGACAGGCAGGCATGGCACTGACCCAGTAACTGAGTGCTCACATCTTGAGACACAAGTAGAAGGCACGAAGAGCTCACTGGGAATGATATGGGCTTTTGAAACTTCGAAACCCACCCCTAGTGACACACCTCCTCCGAGAAGGCCATACCTTCTAATCCTTCCCAAACAGCACTATCAGTTGGAGATGTCGAGGTATTCAAACATGAACCTATGGAGACCATTCTCATTGCAACTACTATGCAGCACTATGTAGGGCTAGGAAGGGTTGGGTTAACCTGAGTAGGTTCTCGGCAGAGAACAGGAGCTCCCTAACCCATCGTTTCACAATTATTCTTGTCATAGCACACACAAAAATTTGAATTTATGGGTATCATGGTGACTTGTAATTCCAGTATTCAAAAAGTTGAGGCAGGAGCATTACTGCCTACATGGTGATTACAAGTTCAGCCTAGGCTATACAGTTAGCTCCTATCTCAAATATTAAAAAAATAATTATGAAATTCATACAGCTGCGTATGGTGTTGCAACCCTGTCTGTATTCATAGCCACTTGGTAGGCCGAGAGGAAGATTAAATTTCACGGCATGTTTTGGCTACACAGGGAATGAGTCTTTGTCTCAAAATATGTGTGTGTCCAGTGTGTACAGGTGTATGCACACATGCAAGTGGAGTCCAGAGGTGTCTTCCTCAGGTGCTCTCGACCTTACTTTTTGAGACAGGCCCATTTTTGTCTCGACTGGCTAGGCTGGCTGAGCAGCAAGGCCCAAAGATCCTCCTAGATTCTCCTTCTCAGCACTTGGATTGCAGGTGCATTGCTATCCCACCCTGTTTGTTTACGTGGATGCTAGCGTTGGTACCTAGGTTCTCATGCTTGCAGTTTGCTCCCTGGGCCATCTTCCCAGCCCTTGGGGGGAAACGGGAGCTCACAGCTGGTGAGGAAGCTCAGTAATAGAGCGCTTGACTGGCATGGGCAAGACCCTAGATCCCATCCCTAGCATTGCAAAATGTCAACAAAGGACATCGCACTCACATGGAACTTCAAGCTAAATGGAGCAGCCTTAGAGGGAGACTCTGGCCACCTCAGGCCCTGTCTGTCTGCCTCAGAGATTAAAGAAATGAATGACTTAACCCATCTCTGCCCATCCCACCTGTATATTGGTTGGGGAACATCCACTTTGAACTACGTAAGAGGTGTGTCTGTGCATTGACAGTGGTTCTGGGGAGTGGGGGGACAATTAGAGCCGACGTGCCATCTCATCTCCCAGAGTCCAGCTCTCCTAGAACCTCAGAACCTTCCCCATAGATCAACACCTTCAGACTGGCAAAGCAGCTATCACAGAAGTCTGGTAGCCATGACCAGCCACCCCCTCCACAGTTCTCCTGTTTGAACACAGTGACCAGTGTGGGCAGGGGGCAGGCCTTCCTGCCAGCTGGCAGAGGCTCTCTCGGTGGGAGGTACAGCTTTCCTTTCTTAAAGGATTTCCCAGAAGGACGTGTAGTTAACAGATTAAGCAGTGGAGTGTTTTGCTGTTTCTAAAAGAACCAATTACTTATTTTTGTGTTTGTAAAACCCAGGAAGCTTTAATATGCTAATCTTTCCACCTGTGATCCGTGGTATTCTCCTTGGTTTGGGGACCGGCCTGGTGCTGATGTTTAATTGGGTTGTGGCCACGTTCCCAACCACTGGTTGCTACTCTCCTCAGATGTGGTCGGGTAAAAAGCCAAATGAACTGGTAAGGGAAGGGGAAAAAAAGGACAAGACACGCCCGGGGAAGTGTGGGTCACAGAGATATAGACATGGTTTAAAGCAGAGAAACAGCTTTTAGCTTTTGTTTTTCAACCTTCAGCATTTCAAGAGTGAGTTTTTCATGTCAGCAGCACAAAAGAAATCCCATGAGAGGTTTTAAACAATAAGAACACCAGGGTCCGACTCTGAAAACTGATGTCCCCCACCTTTTGGAGACAGGATTTCTCTGTGTAGCCCTGGCTGTCCTGGAACTCACGCTATAGACCAGGCTGGCCTTGAACTCACAAGAGATCTGACTACCTCTTGCCTCCTGAGTGCTGGGATTAAAGATGTGCACTACCACTGCCTGGCTAAAACTGATGATTTCATTGGTTAGAAGAACTACCTGGGCATGAGGATGTATTTACTTTTTTTTTATTTTCTCCAAATGGATATTGTAACACAATGAATTAGAGTGAGCCCAGGTTGAAGACTACCTATATGATCAGAGGTCTGGGAGGAAAGAGGCTGAGCTAGGCTCAGTATGTTTCTCCCGAGTGAGGAGCACACTGCTTATTTCTGAAAGTGATCCACCCACAGTGGTGAACATGAATGAACATTTCAGAAAAACTACGCTTTTATCAGGGTGACTACAATCACAAGCATGCGTGACCTTCCTTGACACAGCATGAGAACCCCTACACAACTCTGGAATCAGATGAAGTTCACCCTCTCGGGGAAGCCACACACACACACACACACACACACACACACACACACAAATACAAAACTAAAATACATCTCTTTCTAAAAAAGCAGGATGAAGCAAATGTCATAGATAAATGTGGTATGGAATATGAAATGAAAAGAACGAGAAGGAGTTAACCAGAACTAGCTTCCTCGAGAGGGTGTTTTGAGCTGGATCTTGAAGTGATAGGCATGAATTAGCAGAGAGGAGTGGGATGTGTTCAAAGAAAGGCAAGGAGCAAGCACGGAAATAAGCAAGCCATATGTGCAGGTCGATAAGCATAGTCGCTTGGCTGGAGAGGAAAATAAGGAGAGGAGAGATTGGAGAGATTAGGGGCGGGCAGAACAAGTCCGTTAAAAGCCTCCCAGGCCAGTTTGAGGAATTTAGATTCAATGTGGTTGATTAGTAAGAATGTACTGTTGGTCCTTGAGCAGAAGGGTAACAGAATGAAAGCTGATTTGGGCCAGCATGAAAGAAGGGCGGAAGCAAGACAATTGTGAAGCCAAGGAGCAGATGTGCAACATGTGTTGTATTAAGATGGGCATGGCTGGCCCCTCCTGTGTTGCACACAATAAATGCGTTTTCTTTCCTTTTCTTTTTCAGTTTTTCGAGACAGCGTTTCTCTGTAGCTTTGGAACCTGTCCTGGAACTCTCTCTATAGACCAGGCTGAATTTGAACACACAGAGATTCACCTGCCTCTGCCTCCCAAGTGCTAGAATTAAATGCATGTGCCACCACTGCCTGGCAATGCATGTGTTTTCTTATTCCTCCCCCTATTGCCTACTGCACTTATCCAACGTGCACTAAATAGCAGTGTTAGGTGTAAAGGACTCTAGCAGGTCAAAGCCAGGTGGTGGTGGCACACACCTTTAATCCCAGCACTCAGGAGGCAGAGGCAGGAGAATCTCTGTGAGTTCGAGGCCAGCCTGGTCTACAGAGTGAGTTCCAGGACAGGTTCCAAAGCTACAGAGAAACCCTGTCTCAAAAAAAAAAGGGGGCTGGAGAGATGGCTCAGCAGTTAAGAGCACTGGTTGCTCTTCCAGAGGTCCTGAGTTCAATTCCCAGCACCCACATGGCAGCTCACAACTGTCTGTAACCCCAGTTCCAGGGCATCTGACCCTCACACCCATGAACATAATAATAATAAAATAATTTTTTTTAAAAAAAGGACTCTAGCAGGTCATGAGTAAGTGGTGAGATGTTGTAAGGAGGCCTCTAGTTAGTTCCCAGCTACTTAATCCCAAAATCATCACACAGAAACTGTATTATTTAAATTACTGCTTGGCCCATTAGCTCTAGCTTCTTATTGGCTAACTCTTACATCTTAATTTAACCCATCTCCATTAATCTGTGTATCACCACAAGGCCATGGGCTACCAAAAAAGTTTCAGCATGTCTGTCTCTGGCAGCAGCTCCATGGCTTCTCTCTGACTCCGCCCTTCTTTCTCCCAGCATTTAGTTTAGTTCCCCCCCACACACACCTAAGTTCTGCCCTCTCAACAGGCCAAGGCAGTTTCTTTATTCATTAACCAATAAAAACAACACATAGACAGAAGGACCTCCCACATCAGTGAGATGACACTACCGTTGGGGATAAATACATTGTGTTTGTTGTCTTGATGAGACATTAAAAGGTAGTTTAGGAGTGAATGGTGACCAATAGTCAGGTGGATGATGAGTGCGCAGAGGTGTAACCAAGTGATAAGGGGTTCAGGTATACCCCATTAAGAGCAACAAATAATATGTGAAAGAAAACTTCAGAATTAGCCACTTGGTGTCATAATGCTATTCTCTGTGATAGGATTTACCATGTACAATAAGTAGAATAATCCTCTCCTAAATATGTATATTCCATAATCCTCAGAACCTGTGAATATGCTATGACAGAGAGGAATAAAAAGTGCAGACACAATTAAGATTGCTAATCAACTGACCTTAAAATAGGGAGATTAGCATGAATTATTCAACTAGGACTAATGTAGTCAATAGAGTCAGTCTACGTGGAACAGACTCTGGAAGTTAGAGAAAGGGATGTGACGAGAGGATTCAGCTCACCCTTGCTAGCCTTCATTAGGGAAGAGACCAAGAACCAAGGAGTGTGGTAACTTCCGGGATCAGGAAAGGGAAGGAATAGATTCAACTCCAGACCACAAAAGTGACATGGTCCTGCACTTGATTTTTAACCCAGTAAAGCTTGTATCAAAACTCTGACC